TATATTATTAAATTAAATTAATATAATAATTTAATTGGAATAATTAAAATTATTGGATTATTAAAATGTAAAAAAATGTTTTTACATTTTAAATACCTTAAATATATAAAAAATGCCAAGTTTAAAATTCAACTGGATTCACAAATAAAGTGAGTACAGACAATTGACACACTACGAATTTAACTAAAATATTTATGCTTCATGTCACTCGATACGCATCACTTAAATCTTGTTTTAATCTATCAAAAACTTGTATTTATAGCAATACAAAAATTGAAACGACTATTATTTGAAATAAAATTTTCAGGAAATAAATTTTTAACAAATATATAAATTGAATTTAAACTTCATTTTTGATGCAATGTCAATATAAAGCAACCAATTACGTCAATCGACTTTAGCTGTTCAATTCAGTGTATATAATACGTTTGTTTTAAAGAATAATAATTATTATTATTATACATTTTAGTAGAGTATTTTACGTTATACTTAATAATTATAAATATTTTAGACTTGAAATGATGTTTTCACTTAGTACATCACGTCAAATATTGTATAAAACAATACAACTAATAATACAAAAATTGAATGCTTTCAACCCATTTTTGTTAAATATTTCACTAAATTCTGATATTATTTTCTAAAAAAATTATAGAAAATTACATTTCAAATTTGTATGTTTTTAAGAATTTAAAAACATTCCAATAATTTAAAAGAAAATTATTTAGAAAATTTAAAGAAATTCTAAAAGAATTTACATTTGATATTTTTAATATTTAAAATAGTTTTAAACAAATTCTAAGTACTGAAAATTTGAAATATTATTTTTGATAAATTTTATTCTATTTACATACAGTTTAAAATGATTTTTTTTAAATTATACAACAAAAATTCTGTTTATATTGTTAATTATACAATGCAATCAGATAAGACATTTCTACGAATTGATTTAAAAGAATTATCAGAGAAATATTTAAAAAATTATGTATAATTCTATTTATGTTAAATTAAGCATATAGTAAAGCAGCAAAGTCGGAACCCCAGCTTATTTTGCGAAAGAAACGTTGCAGACTAGTATTAGGTAGAGTAAATACTTCACGATCTTGTCCTCATCCTGTGCAATCGTTATTACTCACTCGTCAATTCTAGTTTCTCGTCTATGAAAAGTGTATGGATTTTCATTCTTACTATTTAGGAAATTGTTGAAACGTTATTTTTTAGCGTCATCAGTTCATTTCTAAACAGATAAGAATTCATTTTTGATTACTAATATGAAGTAGTAGAATAAAATAAACGGATTACGTGCTTATTTAACCGTTTCTGACACACAATAATTCATAATGCCACGTTATTTTAAAGCATTCCCGTCTCCTAAGTCCCCGTGAGTTTCAAAGTACGATTCCCACTTTTTAAACATTATTTTGACTTTGACTAATTAAGATGTTTTATGTTTGTATTAAAAATAATGAAAAAGGAGATGAAACTAATATGGTGTCAGAATCCGTGGCTAAAATTACAGAATCCATGAAGGAAGATAAAATAGAAAAAGCAGTAAAAATAGTTTCAGATCCAAAAACTACTTTAATAAGATTATCACAGTAAAAATGATGCTGTCTGCATGTTTTTTGATAGGCCGTAATCGTAGGATTGCCGTGAAAAACTGTGGGTGAGATACATACGGACAGTACAGTGATTGAGCCTTGTAGAATGTTCAGAAGCGAAGATAGATGAAAATAGATGAATGAGACTTTTCCTAACGAAACTTTTTATTCCTCAGTGCAAAAACATGTTTAATTAAATCATTTTATGCTATAGTTTCCTGTATTTATTCTTTTTTTCCATTAAATTCGATTTATATTTGGTGGTCCGAATTTGGACCAATTTATTCAAACTATCATTTTTGACACGATTTACTAAATTCAAATACTTTTTACAAAAGAAGTTTAAGTTTCTTTCAACGAAAGATTCTTTGATTAGTTGTAAAACAACTAATCAAAGAATCTTTTGGTGTTAAAAAATAATTTGTCTTTAATATTATTAAAATTATAATAGTGAAACGAATAGGGAGTCCAACTTTGATCTATTTCCTTTAAATTTTATTTACAAATTTGTAATGATTAAAAAATTATAAAAATTTATGCTTCCAATTAATTATACAGCATAATTTAAATATAATTATACTTACAGTAACGTTAATCAGGTGATCAGGAATAAGTTATATGACTCATCGATTAGGGATTAAGAAGATAATTTCAAAACAGAATTAGATAGAATTAATTAATAACACATTAATGACTTAACTTTAAAAATACACATATTATTTTATAAATTAATTTTAAAAAAATCTTAAATATTACAATTAAATATATACAATTTAAATATTATATTTAATTTATTATCGAATAATGTTAAATCTAACTGAAGCATTTAATTAATAGCCTAATTAAAATAAATTTATTAATTATAGGAAATTTATTTAAAAAATTATAATTCAAATATCAGAAGAAAGTTGACTTAAAAGTGTTTAATAGCATAATTTGCTTAACCAGATAGAAAAGGATTGAGCCTCACATCTAATGTCAAATATGTAAATAATTTGGAAGCAGAAAAAGAAAAATCCAGTAATTTTTTGATTATTTGGCTTGATCTAAATATGAAATTTATTATTGTTGTTAGAATGTATTTTTTAACAAATGTTAATTATTATAATACATACAGTTTGAAATCTAATTGCCCTTCTGGTGAGATCATAAATTATACTTAAAAATTTATATTTATTTAATATTCAATATAAAATTTTCAATTTTCCATTAAATATTAATTATATTAAATTTCAAATAAAACATTTAACAATGTGTTAATCTTAGCAATGTTTTTTGCATCTATCTTATTTGGAAATAGAATTTATTATTAGCATATATATATAAATATTAAAAAAAAGCATTCAAAAAACAAAAAATCATATTAGAATTGATATCTATAAATAAATATAAATCACTATTTACAAAGAAAAATATTTATAGCTAAGAATCAGAAGACTGATAAAACAGCAGATCAATATCACTAGAATAATTGAACAACAGCATAAGATCATAAAGAAGCAAAAATTGAGCTATAGTTTTATCTGTATTATTAAAGATTAAATTGAAATAAATTATTTCATAAATTGAAAAGGAAGATATAATTTCAAGAAATTAGAAGCAAATTAAATCTTAAAATGCATATTTGTAAAGGGTATATAAATTTTTTTTTATTTGAGGTACACGTAACTGAGATGCAATACTCTCTTCTACATACATAAATAATGGCATAACTTTGCTAACTGGAAAAATGCAGTGCCATTGAATCTTTAATAATAANAAAATTTATTAAAAAAAATTATATAGATACCTTAAGTAATATTATAACAAATATTTTGATTGTAATGATCCCGCAAACAATGCTAACGGGCAAAACCCATTTTGAAATCTTAGCGCCCTTTAAAGTAATGGAAAGTACTACGTTCGTTGAGACCTAAACGAAATTTAATTTCATTAACACTGAATCTTGAGTTAAATAAGTTAATATTATTAACGATTACTTCAGTTTCGTGTGGTAGATGACTTCTAGGTTGAACAATAATTCTCTCTTCTTCGATCGTCAGTTTTCCTTGTGAAGAGAATGTGATGTTATCCCATTCTTTCTAGAAAATCATACGTTTAACTTTTTAGCTTAAAAATAGAACAATTTTAATAATTTTAATAAAATCAAAGATTATACAAATATATTGTAATCAAAATAATATTAAAGTGAGAAATATAAAGTAAGAAAAATCCACTTTATCCAGAATTTTTACTTATTGAATAAAATATTTTGAAAAATTGATCAACATATTGCACTTTTAATAAAAGATCTGTCTGCTTTGAAAAACTTTTAGTTTTTGTATTATCAAACATGAAATGATATAAGAGCGACTATTTTTGCCATACACCCCTTCAAAACTGACTTACTTGTTAGTGACGCCAGGAATAGTTCAATTAAAGTTTAGTTGCTCATTTAACACATTTATTAATAGTCGGTTAATATTTTTAGCTAAATTTTACTTTTCTTCACAATTTCAGCTGAACTCGTGTCTTTTTCATATCTCAGATCTTAAAAAGAATATGTGCATTATTTATACAATAAAGCTCTACAATAAAATTATCTATTTGTTAAATATTTCAGTTATTTAGTTAACTTTTTCTGATTCACAGGAAAAGAGGAGTTCCTTCTAAAATGAAAGTTTTAGGAGAGAGAAACAACACGTGGACACTCCTCATAAGTCCACCGATTTGCTATAAAAGGCGGAGGTTACTTTTTATCCAGGCTTTCTGTCGTGAATCTCATGTCGTTAGCCGTGTGCCGTTTAATCATTCAAATAAAGTTCCTTGTTGATCCCGATTTGCGTTTGATACATCGATCATATTAAGAAAGGATGACAAAAGAAGTCTTCTCAATCAACAGAAAAGGTTCTCGCATTACATCCCCAGGTAACGAATGAAATAATTGTAAACTCAACGCGAATATGTATAAACTTTAAGATAGGATAGTTTAATTCTTGTATCGAAGTTTGAAACTTATATAGTGTTATTTTAATATTAACTAATCAAGTATGTTATTTTGTAATCTTTATCATTATTTTTTTGTATAAATAAATAAATATAATTGTTTTATATAGTAAATTTAATATAATTTTTTATTTACGATTATTTAATATTAACCACTTGCCTTAACTTAATCTAAAAGCAGGAAAAATGTAATAAAATTAGCTTCTTACGGGTCACTAATAAAGTGACGATAAGGAAAAATCTCATAAAAATAAACTCCATTTGGAAAAGAGAATCATAATGGAAAAGATGGTGAGTAGAAAGTGGCAAAATTAATGCATAAAAAGGCAAATTATAATTTAATCTGTAATTCTTTGTTCAATTTAAAATGATTAAACTATATTTCAGGCTTTCATTATTTTTGTCATTTTATTAATGGAAATAACAACATCAAAAGAACAAGATGATAATGCTTCAATTATACATTATCCAAATCATAAATATAATTATAATATAAATGGCACGATAGATGATTTAATTGCGAGTTCTGATGTTAAAATGCAAAGCCAAACGAAATGGGAACCATCAAACGATGCTGCACAAGTAAAAAAAACTGTATTCGAAGTTGGTGAATGGTTAAAATTTTCTGATGAATTGGACGAGAAAGATATAGGAGAAACTGTTCATCATTTATCCATCAGTGGTCCTACGACTGTTAAAAGAACCGGACATGTGCATCGTGGAGGATATGATAAAGAAGAGGAGTCTGGTCCATTAGGTACGACAAAAGCACCCAACTGTGCTCAATACGGTCGTTATTATTGTAGTTACAAGGAAGAATATCCAACGTAAGTACTTATAATGATTTATTTTCTTTAAAAAAGACATTAGAAATTTAATTATACTTAATGATAAATCATTCCCGAGCTTAACTTCTTGTTTAAATTCTTTAGAGAAATAGTAACACAAGTTGTTAAATATATGAAATGGCCATTAGAAAAACTATTTAAGGATTTAAGAACTCTTCAAATGCCAAAATTAGCAGAACTCGGTGATGGATCTTTAGTTTGTGATTCACAAACGAAGATTGTTAGACCCGGATGGGCTAAAAACGTTAACGGAAGATGGTTAGTTGTTTTAAATAACGAATATTATCATCAATATGTAACTGAAGTACAGTGCAAGTATGTTTTTTTCCTTTTATTTAAATTATATTAATTTTTATGTTTGCAAATCAATCAAAATAAATACCATTTATGATAAGAAACTGAAAATTTTTATTGCATTAAGTTTTATTTTCCAAAGACTAATAAATTTCTTTCAATGTAATTTTATATATAGAAAATCCTTTAAAAGGAATTCTCGTTTTTGAATTTAAAGTACTTATAGTAATTGTTAATGACTATAATAAAATGTTTTAATTTAAAACTTATTATTTAACAATAAAAATATAATTGGAAAGGATCGTTTATGATGTCCCGTGAATTATTGATAGATTTATGTAAGACAAATTAAATATGAATACTCTAAATGCAAATTTGAAATTTATGCAATATAAATTAATATATCTAAAATCTTTATATTAAAATATTCCTTATTATAATTAAGCAAATTATTTAAATATGAATATAAGTATTATTCAAATTTAATCTGATCAACAATAATTAAATGGAAACTTGTTGTAAATAAAATTAAAGCTTTTAAAATACATTAAAAAAATAATAAATTTTAATTTCTTAGAATATTTCATTCAAAATTAAGCGATTTGTTAAACTAATAAATTCAACCTTTCTGTTAAAACACGTTGTTTAAATAACTTTAACAAATTACTAAATATATAAAATTATGTAAATTATTAAACTAACTTTTAGCAACAGAAAAATAATTTATTTACATTTATCAGCGATTTAAATGATAATTACAAATTTCTTTTATTAAAAATAAATTTTACGTCTCTAAGACTTGTGTTAGAAAAGACTGGCTAAGACATGTTACATGAAACCTTAGATTTGATAGGTATCCCATTATTAATTCCCTAGATCTACGTATCCCATTACTAATTCCCTAGATCTACGTATCCCATTATTAATTCCCTAGATCTACGTATCCCATTACTAATTCCCTAGATCTGTATCTAGATCCATTAGATCTACGTATCCCATTACTAATTCCCTAGACATTATTAAAGCTTATTTTTAACATTAGCTGGAAAATAGATGGTATACTAACGACATGTGATTACCTGTCTTTCCATTGAACCAACGATAGCCATCATATTAGCTAAGATATAAAAACTAACATGCAATTATTTGTTGTGACATCGTCATAATGCCGGACCGCTCTTCATCTCAAATTAGTACTGTAGTGTCTTGCCCCTGAATATTATATTTTTCCTTAACAAAAAAGTCGTGCCGGTCATCTATCTAATACTTTTCAGGGGAAAATGTTTGAAATTAAATAACGTGATATGCGGTTTCCATCGGAAGTTCTAACATATTTATCCGGAGTCTCCTGCCCATAAGCTTTCCATAACTTGTCTCTATTTTTATGTATCTAATTCCGTTTTCGACATTCAGAAAAGACAGACAATGGAAATTTATAGGTCTATAATTTTTTTTTTAAATTGCAACCCAATAACTTTAATTTAGTAGATAATGTATATAAAATTGCAGTATATTATCTTATTTTAATCTTATTAAACTTTTACGTTAATTGAAACTACAATTTTTATAGGCAGGAGTACGTGTCTATGGTTTCACTGATCTCAAGAGATTTGACAGTAATGGTAATAAAGTCAGTTGAGAACCTGATGGTATCTAAATATGAATTAAATTAATTTTTCGATAACGTTGATGGATTTCTTATATTGTATTACGGGTCTAATACAGTGCATTAACGAATTTATTTGTATATTTTTGGTACCATATTTGTTGTATGGGGAAGTGATCTCTTGCCTTATCGACATTGTTCATAATCCTTGTAATTAATAAATAAAGCTAGTACGTTTTTATAAGATAATTGAAAGAGCTGTTGCCCATTCGTCGTTTATAGGATCTGATCAAAAGCCCAACAAATCAGTATCTTGACGTTCAAAATGTCAACACGATCAAAATTTCAACACATTCTAAAATCTAGTATTTACATTGTTCCTATAAATCCTTAACCGAATGAAAATTTTAAAAAGAAATTTTTACATATCTCACAGGCTTTTTAAAAAGTTTTACGTAGTTTAAGCGAAAAAGCAATTTAATTCAACAGATATTTAGTAATCGGTTTAGTAGTTCGTTTTCTGAATCAAATAAATAAAGTTCGTATTTCAATAATTGGGCTGCATTTGAAAAAATTGTAGACTTAAAAATTTTCTGTATCGTCCGTCCGTCCGTCTGTCTTTCCTTACTCTCAAGAAGGGAACTCCCTTCTTGAGAATAAGGAAAGACAGTCGGACGGACGGACGAACAGATGGACAATACTAAGAATTTTGCTAACTGAACTGACTTGTGAGTTATATAAATGAAATCAGAGACCAAATTTAGAAACCTTAGGGGCAGACGCTCTGATTATACACTAACGTCCGATGCAAACCGGAAGTCATGTTATTTCAATTCAAAATTTTTCCCCTGAAAGGTGTTAAATAGATGACCAGCACGACTTTATTGCTAAAGGAAGAGTATAAAATACTGAAAATCCAATATTAGAATTATTGATATAGTGACACCCGATTTAATAAATGTTTTTTATTTACTTAATTCAAAACAATTAAAACGAAATTTCTTAGATAAAAATGACCTTAATGCTCCTTAATTTAATAAAATATTTCCTTTTAATGATCTTGAACTGAAATAGAAAAGGTGAAAAATTACAAAAATAGTTTTTTAACAACATAAAAATATACGTATAAAATTAAAATTGTAATCTGACATTTGTTATAATTAAAAATATTTTTTAAATTTATTCAATATATGTAATAAATCATAATTTTGAGTACAAGAAATGAGAAAAGATGTCATGCTTCATCATAAAGCTTATAAATTTAACTTTCATTTAGTCAGAAAGCAATTATTAGAATAACTCACACTGGAATTCCAGTAAACCATTAGCAGCGTTGCTGCAAACACTAGATCATAATACATCAAACATAGATTTTGAATAATGTTACAATTGCAGCTCGTCACAATGCCGAGATGCAATTTTTAATCATATTTTTAATTAATTTAATTTAAAATATATTCTCTTCACAGAAATTATAAATAAAATATTTTCTGTTGGAATTTATTACAATGTTGTTTCTTTCAAGTATATAGGTAGGCCTCTATATATATACAGTACAAAATCTTATAACTAGTAAATATTATATAGACTGTAAACTGTATGCATAGACCTATAGAAAGCTTGTAAGGATTGTAAATAGTATAGAGTTACAGAAAATATTATAAGTATATGGAGCAAAAGTCAGTTTACCGAAGCAAAATAGACAATTACCTTTATATAAGTTTTTCGAAAAAATAATTTCCATTTGAATTATTCTGTAAAAAATAGTTTAAACCATTTTAATTATAATCATTTCGTAATCGCCTAAGAATCGATTGAGAACATTAAGTAGTATAATAAATAAGAATACAAGCAGCAGAAATTCTGATTTTATTAACTCTTGCATTAAAAAAACAACTAAAACATGTATCAGCTGAAGAATTGTTAATTGTAATAATATTTATTAATTTCGATACGATATTATTGATACGTCTTTGAGAAGACAGTATCTGATAAAATTTTTTAATAAGCATTAATCTTATGAGAATATTAAATCATTTATTGTCCACTTTATCGTTTTCTTCTTTCTCTCAGAGTCCTCGAATCTTTCGACGTTATTTTATCTGATGATTTCAATCGTTCCAATTTTATTGTGGTACTCATTTCCTTCTTACTCTTCTTATTGATATTTCTGAGCAATATTATATACAGCATTAGGTTTTTTCTGTAATCAACAAGTAAATTTTTCAACTATAGATAATACTTTTCTTGATAATCTTTTTACTCCCTTCTCATATGTAGCATTTTTTATTAGATTTCGTGTAATTGTGAAACACTTCCCAACAATTGAAATTAGATATCATCATTGCAATTCACATTTCAACAGTTTACAAACTAACTATCAACGCAAGTATTAAAGAAGTCTAATTGCAATTGAAAAACGTTGACAAACATTTTTCATTTTTATTACACGACAAAGACTAACTGATATATCTTATTTTTAAAAATAATACCGAGTATTATACACTGATTCCTTGCGAGTGAGGATTATTAAAGCTCCGAGCTTATTTTTAATGTAAATATAATTTTTATCCCAAAAATAATATGTAATTAGTAACTTAACTCATTAAAGCAGCATTAGAATGTATACTTAAAATAAATAAACATATGTGTATTAATTTTATTTTACGTAAATAATAAACAAGAAAAGCTATAAATAAACGATAACAAATTCGTTATATTACGTGAGTTTTATTTCCCAGAAAGAACAAAATTAATAAATATAAATAGAATTATCTCATTCTCTATTTGGACTGGATTAGTAAAACAGCAAGGTCAAATCTAACTGACCTTGCCGCGTTTTACTAATCCGGTTGGAAAGGCTTCTTCAATAGGATTAAGCATACAGGAATATGGCGACAGAAATTTCAGTGCATGCATTATTTCATTAACATATTCCCTTAATTATCTACTTTTGTGTATTTGCACATTATCCATTACTAGCTGCAAGTACCCGCTTCGCTGGGTTTTTATTTGTTCGTACATTTATATGTAATATAGTTTTTCTTTTTTATATAAAAGACTGTTTCTCTTCCTCTAAATAATCTTTCTCTGATTCGATGTGTTTCCCTATAACTTTCAAGTTGCTCTTCTGTCTGATTATTTCTGTTTCGTTGAAGATTTTCTCGTAGCAATGTTAGACGTACTTCTCTTTCTTCCGTGGTTTCATTTCTCCGCGCCATCTTTTGCCTTTGAGATATGATTTAAGACCGCAAAAATTCTTTCTTACGCTTTGGAATTGTTTTTTTATTTTTACTTTTCACACTTCACTATTCACTTTTTATTTTTTTCTGTTATTCGTACACTTTTACTTATGAAAAATCAACTGAAGCGTGTGCGTCACACGTCTCCAAAAGCCATCCCCACTAATCACACG